CGGCCGTGGGCAGCGGCGGTCAGCGGCCTGTGAGGTAGGGTCCAGTTAGTCTGCAGCGTTACTTGACTTTTTGAGCCCATTTCAGGTCGTCCGCTCTGGGCTTCTCTCCCGTCACACTCTGGATTACATCCTCAATGTTCCTCCAGAATCCCAGCTTCTCCAGCGGGTAGTTCAGCCAACCTGGAGGAGGAGAACGAGCGCTAGTTAAAATGAAACACACAAACGTCAGTGTCTTTTCAAATGAAAAGTTATACTGGTGTAAAAAGCTCCGCTCACTTTCTGTTCAGCTGGTTGTGTTAAATATGGTGAAGGTTTAGAGCACTAGAAGAAGCGCTAAGTCAGTGCAGCAGCGCAGCCAATTGCTAACCTGTTGCTGACCTTAAATATCCGCAAAAAAACAAAAAAATGTATCAAATCAGCGTCGTCACATCTGATGGTTTATGGGCGTTTAATTTCTTGCCCCAAGTCAAGTCTTTCAGTGACAGTGATATCTGAAGTTCTGCACTCAGGTGTGCACCTACGCCACAAGGGGTCACTGGCGTAACAGTCAACAGCCGTGTGTGTAAAAAAACAAAGTAATTTGTTTACATGTTCAGTTTGAAAAACAACAATATAGGACAACCCTGTATGAGGATGACATAGTGGCAGGAGGAGGTACTGCAGTAGGCCAACCTGTGGTGATGCAGAAGTACGTCTCGTGTGGGGAGACGTGATGTACGCGGTGGTGTTTGCGAGGCAGGATGATGTGCAAGTCCTGCAGGAGCACAACCCAACGGGGGAGGCCGAAGTACGTGTGCGACCACTTGTGGATCTGGTTGGTGAGGGTCACAAAGATGGCAAGAGCAAACAAGTAGCAGTACCAGGGGTAGATATGGTAAATCTCAGCTGCCATGAGGAAAAAAAAAAGAAAGAAGGGTCAAAGGTCATGTAAATTGAAACTTATTTGAACAGTTTACAAAAGTTGATTTTTTTTTTAGTCCAAACACGTACCAGGGCTGAGGGTGAGGAAGTTGAAGGCCATGATCACGAGAGGAACTATGGTCAGCATGCAGTTGTCTCCGTTGGTCTCAATGAAGTCGTGTCGGGTGATGGCCGTGGGGTCGATGTGATGCTCTCTGAAGGGTCGTATGAAGGCCTGCGGGGTCAGAGCAGGTCACGGCAGGAACGAGAGGTCAGGGGTCCATCTGTCAGTGAACGGTCAGTTTCTGAAAAAGTACCTCGTGTTTACGTTACCTTTCCAAAAACTGGCATATCGACGGAACCCCATGTGTCTGCCCCCCAGTGGACGAGTCCTGACGCAAAGTCGGCCGTGAGTATTCCTGCCACTGAGAGTGAGATGAAGGAGGAGGAGGGGGAGGAGTTACCATTACCACTGAAATATACAGTATCTGTAGTACCTTAAATATTTATCACAGATACAGTATAGAAAACTCACCAATCCCCAACGGAATGTGCCACAAATGTCCAAAATGGAAGTTGGCGAGAAGGTGAATGAAATTGAAGGCCATGAGGGAGAAGCAGAGGACGACACTGATCCATTCTTGACATCGTTTGCCTTGAAGAAAAGAAGCAGCACATGTGAGAACAAAGTAGTGGTTCCCAACACTTTTCTGTACGCCCTTATTTTGTTCTTGGAACTGTTGTCGGTTCTCTCAGAACCGTGCTCTAGATTAATCATCATTAATGGAGATTAATTATGATTAATCCAGGCCAATAAGAACCAAGAACCTTCTGGGAAACTGATCACAGAGTTTGAAAACCAAGGTTCAAAGCCCGTCGTCGTCGTCATTTTTCATCAGCTGTGACTGTGAGGAGCTCTGTCCAGTTTTTATTTACTGTACATACTGTAGGGAGTGTCTGCTGCTCCCTGACGTCAGCTGTGATTGGATGGACAGTTTCCTTCGTTTTTCTCCCATTGATTTCTTTGAAGGGTCAGTGGTGGAAACAGCAGGTTGTTGATGAGATCGTTAGTCGTGAAAAGTAGTTTAAAGGTCAATCCCCCGGTCAGTGCGATTAATTATCAGGCACTTCGTTACAACAGTGACACCCAGTGAGGACACGTTGGACCTGGACCGTGCTGGTTATATGACATCGTGGAGCTGCTGGTACCGAACAAACCAGTCTGTTTCTCATTGAGAATAATGTGATAATTATAGAATAATCTAATGTCATTAACACATTATAATGACATTATAGTTGTCTCATTGAGAATAATGTGATAATTATACTATAATAACATTATAGTTATAATTAACCTGGTTTAGTCTGGAGTCACCGCTAATTGTATACAAGAATGGAGGTATCTTTAGGTACACACCGTTCAGTCTGGGTTAATTCCAACGTTATTATTTTGTTATAGCGCCCGCTGCAGGTGTGACGGTGTCAGTGCCTGTATACTTCTTTTTGAGGGTCAACTTTTAATAAATATGTGACGTCAGTTTGGGAAATTATGATCCCATTTAGAGGAAAATATACTATTGAGGAAAGGTGGGAGTGGACGTTGTCTAAGATTAGAGTTCAGATAACAACCAATCAGATTTGTATCATTTTTATTTTACGAATTATGTAACAAACTGTTTATTCCCAATGTAACCTGTAACCTGTAACAACCACATCGATTCTAGGCTAAGATCGCAGTGAGACTTTAGTCACTTTGCTGACGACTCCTTCATTTCCATAACCACACCGACAAAGTATTCAAGGAGTAAACAAACTTCAGTGGTAAAAAAAAATGGCGATATTTAGATACGACTCAGGCAGCAGCTCTAAACTATTGAATACTAATAGTTTCTGGTTGGAGAACGAGGACTCGTTAAGCATCATTAACCACTAGAGGAGGAACGGGGGGGGGCTAAAGGTCACTGCGGCTTGGTGTAAAAACAGACCTCGTCATTTCGGGTGAGAGGCGTCGATACAACACGCGGAATGTCCAAGACCGAGAACAACTAAACAATATGACGATTGTTGTTGTTGCTGTTGTTGTGTTGGTGGAACAAACAGTGACGGGTGACGGAAACAGCTGCCGCCGAATCTGCGAAGTCACCGAATTCACTAACTTTGACCGAATCCACTAGTTCTGTTGTCCAGTCTGGTTCCTCGGTGACTACGTTATGTCACGCCACTGAACTCGGCAGAAGGAAGCGCTGTCAGCCGGAGCTGCCGAGGAGGATTCACTCACCTGGAGAGTACAGATCGGCCAGTTCGCGGGCGCCGGCGTGTTGTGGTCCCCACCTGGCCGCTGCGCGACCCGGTTCCTGCGGCTCCAGGTTCTGTGTTTCTTCCTCACAGCCGTTCTGGTTTACCGAACTAGCCATTTCTCTCCCTGTGGGCCCAGCCCCTTCAGTCTCTCAGCCAGGAACCGACGGAGTCATCCACTTCCTCCGTTCACGTTCGACGTGACAACGTGAGCCAATCAAGAGCAGAGCAGTAATAGCGGGAGCCAATCACTGCCGAGGGTGCTGTACCAGACAACGCCGTTTGACCAATTGGAACTTCGAGCCTCGAAGAACGTATCACACGGCCCCACCCGTTGTTCTGTCGTTTTAATAATCTTCTACCACTAGATGGCACCATCGGCGTGCAGTGGGATTAAATAATAGCCGAGTCACAGGAATTTAAGTTGTTGATGGGTTTTTTTAACTATATTTTAATTTTTAAAGCCTCAATTTAAAAAAAACATATTTGTGAATTTATGGGAAAATATTCGTTGAAGTGTAAGAAATTTGTTCTGCTCTTGTTCCTGGCGCCAGTACGTATTATGTAGCCATAATATAAAAAACTTTTATTTTTATAATATTGAAACGAGTCACTCAAGAAGTCTAGTTATTTTTTTTTCTTTCTTAATTTACCGTAACTTTTTTTTTAAATAATGAACGGGTGATTCTGAAACCGTGCCAGAAATGACCGCCAGGGGGCTCTGAAGTCTCTAAACTCATACGGAGTGTAATTGAACGATCTGTGTGAGAAAATTTATTACACACTGAGGCCTTTATGACATAACAAAACACGGTTTGTTTTAATTTCCACAGTTATGTTAATGCAGATTCGACCATAGTTCATCTTTGTTGGGACGAATGAGCAGCAACCGCAACAAAAAACCGCAACAAAAAAAACCAAACACAGACAGAAAGAAGTGTTAGAACTCCCACGGAAGCCACAAAATTTAATTAGACAAAATATAAATTGAAATAATTGCCCTGACCACTGCAATGCCCTGCCAAATATATATATATTTATATTTTCTAGGAAAGTAGCTAGTCACGTGATCCAGACTGAAACGACTTTTTCAGAGATAAACACAACCCAAATATAATATTTACAGTATTTATCGAATTAAATCGTCACTACTGCAACGAGTGTATTAAGTTGAGCCTCGTAAACGAGTTGATTTTGACCCTGCGTGCATTAAAAAAAAACCCCGTTTATGAACAAAAAAAATGTATCTATGTAGTGTATTATTTACATATGTATTTATTTATCTATTTTTTTTATTTTTTTATTTAAATTGTTGTTGTGATCATTAAAACCTGGATGATTTGACTTTAAGACCAGGATCAGAGCTGTGACTCAACACCCACCCTGACCCTTACACAGTATTGGAGTGCATGCATCATCTTGTACAAATCAACCACAACACAAGGAGGGCAGACTGGTCCAAACTGGTCTGTGAGTCTGCGGGTTAGCTGCAGTACAGACGTCTGTCCAGGGGTTCTTCCATACGCATCACTGCCGTCGACGTTCTTACGTATGAGACTCAGTAAATAATAAACAGCCTGTTACTGAGGTATTTTTCCATTATGGTTGAGTTGATGATTTGTGACTGTAGAGGGCGTGGACGGACGTGTTGTCAACAAACGTCGCTGTGAACGAGTGTTCAGTGACTTTCTTTCTTTCACTTTGTCAGTTTTGTTTTTACTGGAGGCTGCAGCTGAAGTCACGCACTGACAGAAGTACTCGTGATAGAGTTAAAAAATATATATATATATATTTAAGCTCCTGTTTGGAAGTGACTGTCATGAGGGGTTGATAAGCTGGAGACATGAAGGTGTGACCAGTGGTTATGTAGGTCAAAGGTTAGAAAGTGTGACACGGAGAAACGTAAATATTAACCATTCACTTTAATGGGATCTTACGCCCTGAAAAGATGCAGCGTCAGGGTTTGAAGTTTATCGGACGACGGTTACGTTGAAGCCATTGTCAGAGGAGTCTCGACCTCTACACCACCGGACTGACCATTTATATATCGTAGTCTTGTGCTGCCTGGCGTCATTCCTGTCCTGCACAGGAAGTGACTCATTGTCCCTCAAGGCTAATGACACAGGCGACGGGGAAGTTGACAGTAGAGCAAGATGGCGGCGCCAGGTTGGAGGATGGCTGGAGACGCCGAAACGTGTAAAAACTCCAAAATCTGTATTTGGCTGCTAGAAAGAAACCAGAGAAAAAACTGCCTGACGTAGTTTAGAATCAGACACGGAGCGAAAAGATAAAGTCATTTTTTATTCTTGTTAGAAAAGACAGAAAACCTCATGATTGACATGAATTAATTATTGAATATACGCTCTGTGTTTATAGACTGTGTTTATAGACTGTCTTTATAGACTGTCTTTATAGACCTGTTTCTCCAGGGGTCGTTGGTTTAATTGGCCTTACTCCACAGTTTCATCATTTTCCCATTAGTTCAAAAACCTCTACAGTTCAACTACTGTATGTGCAGCACTTTTTTTTTGGCCCCACATCTTCTATACTCAGTCTCACTGCTGTCACATCGACCAATCACAGTTCAGACACCTGTGGAGGTAATAATCACCAAACGCTGGTTCACGGTAAACGTTGACGGTGAAATCCTTTTAACTTACTGCACTCCTATTGGACGGTCCAACTGTCAATCACTCCACTCCTTACTTTTTATTGTCATTAACTTTCCGTACTGTAAATGAGACTGAATTTTTCATAAACTAAAAATGCGTTCCTCTTACGTATTATCAGAAGAGGGAACCAGACTGCCCCCTACAGTCAATCGATGTCAAGACTGAACTCCTTTATACTGTTTATTGTGTTTTATATGAAATTAGGCCAAATGCTGTGTAAAAAGTATCTTGTTATTTGACATTTATTATACGGGTGATTAAAAATATACAGTTTCATATGTTTAAATACTTATTTATTGCACAAATATTAAAAAAAACATTCTAATATACCAAAATTGGAACAACTCTCTCTTGTGGTATTTTAGCGAAAAACCTCTAGAGGTCGGCGACATCAAATATCAAGAACAGCTTCATCGGATATATTTTTGTATGTATTTGATGAACTGTGTTTTAGAGCAAAAAGTACAAATAAAACATTAAATTAGTTGTTTTGACCAAATATTTCTTGAAAACCAGCCTAAAAAAAAAAAAACAAATATCAAAAATATGACCTACCACGTGATGAGGCACGAAAGTTTTACTCAAATATAGGTTTGGAAAATAAAATAATTTAAAGATTTAGAAAATTCAAATTGTCATACCACCTGAGACCTGGATTTAAACATCTCACGGACCGGTTCTGACCCGCGGTTCTTATGTTTGACACTAGTCTTGCGTGTTCTTGAAAGGAAAATATCGGTCCGATGACGTACTTAGATTAATTATATTCTCATAATCTGTCAACTGTATTTTTTATTTATTTATTTATTGTTTTTAAATACTTGATATGGAAAAAATCGAACCCTCAGTACAACCAGTTGAAGCAGGTCGTTGGCTCCGCGTCACACCTGAGCCCCGCCCCTCACATGTCATAAAACCTCCAGAGAGACGCCAGGACCTGTCAAATCCTCCCAACCAGGAACCAGCTCCGCTCGCGCTCTCTCTCTCTCTCTCTTTCACTCTCTCTCTCTCTCTCACGCACACACACATAAACACACACACTGTCCCGGAGCAGACACTCTTAACTCGGGAGGGGATTTAAACTCCAAGACCACCACCCGGTACCACACCTGAGTCACTTCCAGAGAAACCAGAACCACCGTGAGCGTCGCACCTCAGCGCTCCATGCTCCTGCAATCCGGCGGGTGTTAAGATCCATGGAAGTGGCCGGCTTCTACGACGAGGGCAGCTTTGCTTTCCACGGTCGAGACAGCGCAGTCGGTCCGGTCGGTTCTTACTGGAGGTTCGGCGACTCGATGACGGAGCTCGGTATCGAAGAGCAGGAGAGAGCGATAGACTTCAGTGTTTACCTGGACTCCGCTGTGCACTGCCCGCAGCTGCCGGCGCAGACGCAGCAGCAGCAGCAGACGCAGCAGCAGCAGCAGCAGCAGCAACAGGGGGACACTTTCACAGATTATCTCGGGGAGAACAAGATCAAGAGAGTGGCGGCTTTGCAGAACTACAAGAGCTACTCCCTGCTGAGCGAGTTGGAGGGGAGTCAGTGCGACAACCTGCGGGATCCCAGGGAGCCCTACCCGCTGAGCTACAGCGACCTGCAGGAGACCCGCGTGGACGGCGTCCTCAGCCCGGAGCTGGTGGGGAGTCGCTACAGAGTCGCGACAGCCACGGACAGAGCCGACGTCCCGGAAGACGCAAAGATGGAGAACGGCCCCCCCCGGGCCGGCCGGGGGGGGTCGAGTC